ACTTTGACATTTTTCAAACATACATAAATCTGAGTGTGTCATTCTCCTTGCTTAAGACAGCCACATAGCTCACCCTCACATTTAGAGTAGAAGCCTTGATCCTTACCATGATTGAACCCCTCCCTGCCTGCTTCCTGTACCTGTTCCTTTCCTCCTCCCTGTTGCTTACTAATCTCTAGCCACAGACCTGGACCACCTGCCTCATTCCCATCTCAAGGCCTTTACACTGGCTGCTTCCTCTGCCTGGGCTGCTCTTCCCCCATATCTCTGAACGACTCTTAGCTGAAAGGACACCTCCCTAGAGAGGCCTTTCCCAGGCACCCTATCTAAAGTAATCCCCTCCACCCCAGCCTCCGTGATTACTTTTTATCCCATTACTGGGTTTGGTTTGCAGCATAACAGTTATCACTGTCTAAAATGATTTTATTTATTGATTTATTATCTGCCTTTCCCAAATAGGAATAAGGTTCCTAAGGATAGGGACTTTGTTTCATTAACCATGTTATCCCTGACTTCAGGGCCTGTGTCTGAAATAGTAGATGCTCAGTGTGTTCTGAATATCAGGAGGCTAGTCCCCAAAGAAGGAGCCAGGTGGTGCAGTGGTTAAGCACTCAGCTGCGAACTGAAAGGTCAGTGGTTCAAACCCACCAGCTACTCCGAGGAAGAAAGATGTGGCGGTCTGCTTCCATAGAGATTACAGCCTTGCACACCCTATGGGGCAGTTCCAATCTGTCCTATAGGGTCACTATGAGTCAGAATCAACTTGATGGCAGTGGGTTGGGTTAGTTCCCAAATACACCACACTCAATATGTGTGAAAATTATAAATTGACTTCTAGATTTTGTGTCACATTGCCAAATGATGGAGTGACTAGATTGAAATTTACTGCTTCTCTTTGTTTGTGCTTTTTTTTTTTGGTGGGGGAGTTGGGGGTAGGTATGCACATATAAATACGCAGATGTACACACACACACACACACACACAGAGTACGTAAGACTGATTTCAGTCAGCCAGCAATTACTGAGTGTCACTCTTCATAGCTTAAGATGAAAATTTGGGAGAAAAAGTCACTCTTTTTGTGACTAGTTTCTCTGAGTCTATTAAAACATGAGTCTAATCATCAGTTCAACAGCTATGGTAGAAGCATTTCATTTTTTACTCTACAAATGTGAATGATGTTGACTTTAGTTGCTTTGTTAAATTTGAATGTTTTACATGGAAATATTTCCAGTGTTTTATACTGGAAAAAAATTACATTGAATTTTGAAATGAGGTCTTTCCCAGTTTCACCTTCATGGCTTTGTGTTATCAATGTTTTAACTTTTCTTTGTATGGCAAATAATTACAGTGTTTATTTAGAAATAGCCCCTGAGCAAAGTCATAAGTCTCGAATTTTTATTTTTCTTTTGTTTATTCAGGCAGTATATTATTATCATCTAGGTTATCCAAGATCTTTAGTGTATTATTACAGAGTTTTAGGAAATTCTTTAAAGTGACCACTCATGGCTTAGTACGGTTGTTCTCAAAGTGTGATTCCCCCAGCCAATAGCATCAGCATCACCTGGGAACTTGTTAGGAATGCAGATTCTCAGGCACCACTCTAGACCTACTGAATCAGAAGTTTTGGGAGTGGGCCCAGCAATCTGTGTTTTAACAAGTCCACCAGGTGTTTCTGATGCACAGTAAAATTTGAGAACCATGGCTTAGTAAATGTTAAAGGTTCAAGGTCACATAATCCCACAGATTAGCCAAGTGGCATTAATTATTAGCCTGGTTAAGCCCACCTCCTTTGAGGTCACTGGATTTGATTGGTTCTCTAAGGCTAGGCTGTAAAGTTATTTGCTAGATTGCCACATATTGACTTTGGGATGTTTGTATTTTTCTGAACCTGTCAGTGTAATGATTTCCCAGGACACTTTATGGGAACAGGCTGTGATTTTTGTACCCATGGCTTTCTGAGCCATGGGTGACTGGGCCCTTACACCTCCTGGGTAGAGTTCTCCAGGTCCTAGGCATGCTGTTCATGCACTTGAATGAGGGAGGTGTCACTGTTGGACGACAGAGGACCTGCAGGTGCATTTCAGTCACCCCTAGTTTAGTTTATGGGTAGAGAAACTGAGCACCCCTGAAGTTGTGCTTTACTTGAGGTTGCACAGCTAGTTAGGGGTGGAGGAGGGATTTCAGGTCTCCGGACTCTCCACTGTACCAAGATTCCTGCAGGGGGAAGGACAGAGCTGCATACAGCGTGCTCTGTGCCTGGAGGACATTCCTTTCCTACTGCGAGGTTTTCATTTTTATTTAAATTAAAAAAAAAAAGCAAATAGAAAAAAATATATATAGAAAGCCAGGAAGTTTTCGTTGAAACTAATAAAAGTGTCTAAAGAGAATAAAAAAATCAGTTTGAGAACTTTGGTATGGAGGAAATAACCTGACATTAACTTTTTAATTATAGTTGTGGCATTGGGCTTATCAGTGTGGGAAGAGGGAGCATTTGAGCCCTACAGGGAAGTGGAATATGGACAACAAGATGATCCTCTTCCTGAATCTGCCTGCTTGGCCCACAGCCTAATGACTGCTTGTGTGCTTGCAACAGCTGGCATGGAGATGGGCCTGGCCTCAGTAAGAGAGCCGGGTCCTAGGCTCAACTCGTGGTGTGATGCTTCATGAGGAAGCCTCTTAACCTCTTTGGCCTTCACTTTCTGTTAAATGCCTATAATAATACCTATCCTGTCCATCCTGAGAAGGAGAGTGTAGGCTAGCAGGAAGCTGTGTAGTACTGCAGTTAGGAGCACAGACTCTGGATCTAGACTTCCTAGGTTCAAGTTCTGGCTCTGTTAACTCAGTGGCGTGACAATAGACAGGTCACTTATCCTCTTGGTTCCTTCACCTGTGGAATGGGTATAGTGGACTTTACTGTGTCATAGGATTGTTGTGAAGATTGAAGTAGTTATGTAAAGTACTTAAAACAGTGCTTGGTGTTTAGTAAGTGCTACGTGGAGCCCTGGTGGCGTAGTGGGGAGCCCTGGTGGCTTAGTGGTTAAGAACTCGTTTGTTAACCAAAAGGTCGACAGTTTGAATCCACCAGCTGCTCCTGGGAAACCCTGCGGGGCAATTCTACTTTGTCCTATAGGGTTGCTCTGAGTCGGAATCTACTCGATGATAATAGGTTTGGTTTGTTTAGTTTGGTACGTGTTAGTAAAGGAGCCCTGGTGGCGCAGTGGTTAAAGAGCTTGGCCACTAGCTGAAAGGTTGGCAGTTTGAATCCACCAGCCGCTCCGCAGGAGAAAGCGATCGACTGCTAATCTAAAGGTCATCAGTTTGAAACCACTTTTTCTGCAGGGAAAAGATGTGGCAGTTTGCTTCTGTAAAGATTACAGCCTTGGAAACCCGGTGGGGTCACTGTGAGTCAGAATCAACTCGACGGCAATGGGTTTGGTTACGTGTTAGCAAGCAGCCCTGATGGCACAGTGGTTAAAGAGCTTGGCCACTAGCCGAAAGGTCGGCAGTTTGAACCCACCAGCTGCTCCGCAGGAGAAAGATGTGGCAGTCTGCTTCTGTAAAGATTATAGCCTTGGAAACCCTCTGGGGCATTTCTGCTCTGCCTATGGGGTTGCTATGAGTTGGAATCTGCTCGACAGCAGCTGTTTTATTTTTATTTTTTATGTATTAGCAAGTACAGTCAGAATGCTCCTTACAGTCAAGGATGGGGAAACTTTGTCTTGCCTACTTTGTCATCAGGAAAGACCAATTACTAGAAAAGGGCACGTCCTCTTTGGTAGAGGGTCAACAAAAACGAGGGAAACCCTCCATGAGATGGATTGGCACGGTGGCTGCAACAGTGGGCTCCAACATACCAAAGATTGTGAGGATGACATAATACCAGGCAATGTTTTTTCTATTATACATAAGGTCACCATGAGTCAGAGCCGACTTGATGGCAGCTAACAACAACAGTGTGTTAGCTTGCTTGAGTCCCCGGGTGAAGCAAATGGTTGAGCACTCAGCTACTAACCCAGAGGTTGGCGGTTCAGATCCATCCAAAGGCACTTTGGAAGAAAGGTCTGTTGATCTACTTCTGAAAGGTCATAGCTATTGAAAACTCTATGCACAGTTCTACTTGGAAACACATGGGGGTCACCATGAGTTGTTGTCAACTCGATGACAACCTTTTTTTTTTTTTTGGTTTATGTGTTAGCTGTTATTGTTATTTTTAAAAAAATATTATTTTAAGGATGAGATGCTATTTCTGTAAACATATTCTTAGGTGATTCCACCACTTGGTACAGTATTGGACAAATATGCAAGTAATTGTTAAGGGAGGGGTTGTTCTGACATCCAGTCTGTGCCTGGACCCTGCTGTGAAAAGAAGCTTGTTTTTTCATCTCTTTTGTGATCCTCTCAAAGTTAGAGATGATGTCTTATTCATACAAATACATTTTCTAGCTCCTCTTTTCCCTCTGGATCCTAATTATAGTGCATGGTACATACTAAGCTCTCAACTGTAGTTCGTTGAATGAATATTGTTGATGTTTCTGATTATTTCTGTTCTGAAACTTCACCTGAAGGCTTAAGTAATTCATTAATATGGTGACCTAATATCCACCCAGGTCTCCTAAGCATTCATTAATGAACCTTTCCGTTACTCATCTGAAGTGTCCAAATCCTAAGATGCTGCTCATGGCATAGCATGGACTTTATAGCTTTAATTTTCTTCGTAGCTTTGGGAGATAGGAATGTAACAGCTGGGGAGATTTAAACACAGAGAACTAAGAGCCTCATTGGAGACCACAAAGCAGTTACTAGTGGGAAGACGCCCTTGGGGTGAGTCTTTCTAGGACCCAGGAACCTAAATGATAACCTGATTAAAACTCTAGAGGAAATTCAGGTCAGATTGGACGTGGGACAGAATTTTTACCCGGATTGGATTACACTTCCTTCGGTGTCTGAGGGCTGTATGATTAGGGACTTATTTCTGATTTGTTTTTGTTTTTATTTTTAGCATTGCAGTGTCGGGACGGGTATGAGCCCTGTGTAAATGAAGGAATATGTGTTACTTATCACAATGGCACAGGATACTGCAAGTAAGTTTTTCTCTGGATTTTCTCTTCTTCATTTTATTTTTCCACAGTTAAGGACGCTGGACATGATTGGGTTCTACTGTTGTCTTAATAATTTTATGAAATGTCACTGGTTCTCTAACTTTTCTGATGCTTTTTTTGTGGAGGGGTGTTTAAAGTGGAATCAGAGGAAAAGTTTTGATAAATAGTTAATATGAACTTCTTACTATCTTACTGTTGCTATTTTCATTGTGAAAAAGACTTTTCAATGAGTGGGTAGTTAATGTATATTGAGTACATTGTCTTGCATTTTTCAGTATCTCATATCTACTGTTTAAGGCCAAGCCTTGGTATCTCCCCTCAACATGTTAGCCATGGTCTTGTTCTTAAGTCAAACCTAACAGATACTAGCTTCAGTTCTGCCTGATGTAAGTGAATATTACAGTCCAAGAGACCTTTTCTTTCTTAGTGTAAAAAAATTCAATTCTTAAAGTGAGACTGTGAGAGAGAAAGCTGTGTGCATATGTGTAGGGATGTGGTGGGGAGCAGGGGCTGTAGGTGCATGTCAGGATATGGTGTTAAAAGACTAAGAAAGAAGGAGGAAACATAGGCTAGGGTGCTCAAGAGCATTTTCTTTTTCTAAAACCATCCAGTGTAGCCAGATGTTTTATTTGTTTGAGGAAGGTTGTGAGATAATTTCATAGACAACTTCTCTAGGTTTCCTAAGGACCATTTTCCGCCTTCTAGGTCAGTTGAAAATTTCCAATAGGAACATATCCATTCTATTTATATGATGAAAAATATTGGAAAGATAAGACTTGATGATATAAAATTTCTCTTTAACACTTTTGTGGATTGTGTTTGTTCTTTACTTTGGGGGAGGTATTTGCTTGATAAGCCTTTTAAGTGAGTTTATGCAACACATTTTTGTTTCTTCTTTGTATATTTAATTGAACACTGTAAATATAATTATGACATTTTCCTTATCAAGCCCATTCTGATACTAGAATCTAAGTTCTTTAATGTCATAAACAGGAATTTTTCCAGGTCAGAAACAGTTTTCTTAACCAAAAGTAAAAATATTTTAAGCTGTGATGACAGTAAAGTTTAACAATAGGCTGTTTGGATTGGGGTAAAGATAACATTGGAAATGAAGTTTCTTATGTAACTGATTATGGGCTGCCCTCTTAGTTTTTCTAAGTGAAAAAAACACGTGTGGTACATTCTCCTCTAAGAATGGAAATGCAACTGGAGGTGATAAGGAAGGGCACACCATACCTTAGGCCTTGTTTATTCACTTAGTGGCATCTGGTGTCTTAGTTACTTGTTCGGCTCTCTTGTGGCAGTTAACTCATTATATTATCATTATTATTTTTTTAATTGTACTTTAGATGAAGGTTTACAGAACAAATAGTTTCTCATTAAACAGTTAGTACACATGTTGTTTTATGACAATGGTT